AGGATTAATTAGTTAGTTGTTACAAGTTTACGGGGTAGGCCACTGAATTTCTATCATCTCAATAGTTTAGTCCCCAACATTCTGCAACTCGCTCTGAAATCCAAGCAACTCAGGAATGGGGAAAAAAAAAACTTTTGAACAAAAGAAAACAACAATATATGCAATATCTTTCACTAAGGGCTCGTTTGCTTGTTGGATTTGAAAATGAATGTTTTGAGTTTGAAAATTTTTGGATTTATGATGGATTTATTGCATTTTGTATTTGAAAGATAACATTGTTTGTTTAGTTGAATTTTTATCATGAATTTAGTTCATTTGGTATTTGGGTCTAAAAAATTTGGCTTCCGTAGTGTGGTATTTGCAAATACGTGGAGTCCACGGATTTGGAACTAAAAAAAGAACCAAATCCGTGGGCCCCACGGATTTGTTTACCTCAACAAACAATATTTTTTCATCAAATACATAATGCTTGGCATTTGGGTGCCAAATACAACACCCAAATCCCACAAGCAAACGACCCCTAAATGTGTATCGTGGATTGGATTCATATTGTTGTTCTTCTTCTCGTTGTTTCCATGAACTACACATGTAGTTCCATAGCTCATCGGGAATATAGTTTTGAGGGGTCCAAACCAAATGCAATATGTGTCGAGCTTCAGGGGCGTGTCAATCAGATTTATTCTAAATCATCATAAACCGTCAAGGAGGGATGTAAATTGTTACGGGACAATTCAAGTACCACATCGGAAATACAAGGGAAGAAACCCTTGTATATTAGTGTCCACCAACCTCATTAGTACGAGGCCTTTTGGAGAGGACATCCAAGAGTAAAACCGTGCGGGCTTGACCCAAAGTGGACAATATCGTACTAATGGACTACCCAGTTATGACAAGTGGTATCAGAGCCTGGTGCGGATCCGGGGCGGTGGACGTCAGTTTGGTTGATCCAGAGAGATCCACGTTTGGGCTTGGCGGATCAAAGAGAGTTCTGCGTCTGGTAAAGTCCTTGTACTGAAAAGCCCATCGATACAAGGCGTCTGGCGGATCAAGATAATCGCTGAGGAGAGGACACGAAGTTCGTGGTCCTTGGCTTGAGGGGAGGATTGTTACGGGACAATCCAAGTACCACATCGGAAATACAAGGGAAGGAACCCTTGTATATTAGTGTCCACCAAGCTCATTAGCTCGAAGCCTTTTGGAGAGGACATCCAAGAGTAAAACCGTGCGGGCTTGACCCAAAGCGGAGAATATCGTACTAATGGGTTGCCCAGTTATGACATAAATGTCAGGTGTCAATGATAGAATCTATATCTTTGTTGATCCCATGGTAGAATAATGACTCCGCCACATTTTCCAACTACTATGATATAGATGGACTGTCAATTAGAAGTGTTAACGACAACTACCTTGGTTGAATGTACTGTGAGAGAACGATGATATTGCTCATCACCTTTACTAACCGATGTGGTAAACAGGGCATTTAGATTGGCAACGACAGGTTGTATTTTTGTCGATTGTCATACGGTAGAATTTGAGTCATTAAGATGACAACCATAATTTATTAGTAATAGCTCTAAACCCTCAAACCACTCATAAATCGTGGTATGAAAATATAGATGGTCGGGGGCCAAAAGAGGAGACAAAAAAATGCCAATGAGAGGAAAGAACAAAGGGAGGATAGGGAGCGGCTTCTTTGTTTCGCTCTTCGTTCGAAAAAATGTTTTTGGCCAAACTTTTGTCGTCAACCTGCCAGTCGCCTGCCGTGGTCCATCTCCATTTTTTTATCCCTTTCACTCTGAACCAGCCGGTTTATTTTCACGGCGTTCGAATTACCATGTTATCCGTTAATTGAGCTATTCATATAGTAAAAAAAAAATCCTTATTCTGTTTAGTATAAGGTTGTCATTGTTTGATTTTGTTTCTTAGGAGAAGAGGATGGTACGATAGATTGTATGTGTGCCTTCATTTGGTGATATCTCGGAGGAGGGAAGTTTTCTTACGATGACAACATGATTGAATCTCTAAATTACGGGTTTAACATATCAAGAGGAGGATGGCAAGACAAATCAAGCAGTGTATATATTATTTAAGAAAAATCTACCAACAACACTCCAAATAATAGCGTGTTGGATTTTCAGCACAATATGCCTCGAAACTACTTGTTTGGAGTAGCGAGGTAGAACGACAAGAGTTTTAGTTCATGATAGGCGCGAGATTATTGTCGGAGCCAGAAATTTGAACAATAGTAAGTTAAAAATGCACGATAAGACATTTTGAACTTATGAGGTACTAATATGCTTGTTGACTTGGGATCATTGAGTCATGACTAATATTTTTTTGTAAGTTTTATTGGGAAGACTCTAAATTCAACTATTCTACTATTGTTTTTGAAGGGTCTCTCATTCATTTCCTTATAAGCTCTTTTGCTAGTTTGTTGCAAAACAGACACGATAATTTTCAAGCTTTGTCCTTTGTTTATTTCCTCTTTTGTTTTGGGTAGGAAAAATGGAAGCGTCACTTGTCTTGTGGTACAATTTTATGTTATGGCAATTTTTTTTTTGTATTTATCTGTCTTTTTGGTAAAACAAATCTTACAGCTATCTTCTTTTCCCAATCTTTTGTTTTGCTCAAATTGGACGCGGCAAACCGTGAACTTCAAGAAAATAAATTTTCTTTCAAAGTAATAAAAGTATAAACAAGGTAAAATACTGAAAATTTCTTTAATTTCATATTAAATTATGAACTTTCTTTTTTCACATTTATACAATGTATGTGGGAGGGAAACCAACCCCGATATTATGATTGTTATGTGTATTTTTACTCCCTTTTTATAGAAATTTCTAGTAAATAAAATTCCATTGGTTGTTTAGTATTTTTAGCAAACTCCTTTTATTTTTTGGTGAACAGAGAAAAATCTTAATTTTAGGATTTCATTTCCCAAATTTAGCTCAAGATAAACACAATAATAATCATGTTACTTTTTCCAGCACAAATATAAAACAATGTATGAAATGTTAATATTTTCTCTATTTAAGAGTCTTACTAACTTTGGTACAACATATTTTAGTAACTACAGAGCAAATTACCTTTTCATATTTTTACAGCAAAGAAGAAAATAAAATCAAACTCGGAAGGAAAATAAATAGTGGTAAATTCCTATTCCCCCACTTGCCAGTTATAAATTTGGCGCCAAACTCAAGCCTAGCTGCCTGCCACGTTAGTCAGTCCCAGCTGTAAAAACGGCAAACAAGTAAGGAGAAAATTAAATTCATTAACAAAAAATAATAAGGGAAAAGACAGTAAAGGACAGCAGGACAGGCAAGAGGGCCCTCTCTCTCTCCTCCCAAAACGGTATTTCCCTCTATTTCAGTATTTCTCTTCCTCATCCTCAGGCGATATAACGAAATTACCGAAAGCACCCTCCACCAAGAAGAAGAAGTCAAAAAACGTTTCACAGAGTAAAAATATCAGGGCGGTGTTTGCAACGCAATTAACGGGAAACCAGGCGGTAATTTAATTGTTAAATCAGAGATTAAGGAGGGAGGAGTTGGGTGGGAGAATAGTTAATAAAGCAATAAATAATAAAAAAACATCTAAACTAACAGCATTAATATCGCTTAGTCAAAGGTCCGGGACTGTACCCAAAGTGTCCGATCTCACGTGATCATGCCTCCCCAGCCCAAATTCCCATGCCACTCCCCCTTCTTTCTTTCAAACCTAAAAAACAAAAAGCAAAAATCCACGTCAGCACATCACATTCCTTCTCATTGGTCCAAATTCGCCCAACCAGGCCCTACCTATCCACGTGTAACGTCACACGCGCCCACTTCTTATGCGGCGCATCGTCATGCAGAGAAAGAAATCAAGAAAAAGAAGGAAAATCCCAACCACAAGGACGGAGACGGACTCTCCATCTCCGTTCGGGTCGACCCGGGTGGAATAAAACAAAAAAAAAAGGTAAGTAATTAAACAATTTTCTTTTATACAGAAAAAGGCTTCACCGGTTAAACGGAACGGAGGAATCAGAAATTGAGTGTTTTATGGTACGGGTTACGGCTAATTCGGGATGGCTATAAAAGAATCGGTTTGGGTATCCCAACTTCCGCTCAATCTCTTGCTTCTTCTTCTTCGTCTTCTCTCACTCCCTTTATTCTTCTTCGTCCTCTACTCCTACTCCTCCATCTTCATATAGTATTGTGAAGGAAGACTGTTTCTCCCCCCTTATCTTTGAGATTTTGATTTTTCTGAGAATCCAAACACCCTCCTAAGCCTGGAATCTCTCCTCCCTTGCCCACTTTCCTTCCCTTTTGTTCCTCCCTTTTTCGCCTCCACCCTTTTCTCTGTTTTCCCAAAAACAGAGTGCCAACAGAGCTTTTTGATTCACTCGGGGGAGAAGGGGGCTGATTCCTGGAGAACAATTTTTGATTCGTTTGTTCTCTCCCTCTCCTTTGTAAAAGCGAGCTATTCTCTCTCACTCGGTAAACTACTGGGTTTAACTTTCTTGAGAAAATCTCTTTTCCCCTCAATCTTTGTGGGTGAGTGAGTGACAGAGTGAGTCTGTCAGTCCTTCATCTCTCCTGTTTCTACCCATTCAATCGCCATTTCTCTGTGTCTCCTCTGGACCCTTTTCCTCTTTGCCTTTTTTTCTTCTTTGTTGTTGTTGGTGAGGGCAGGGCACACCACGCTTTCCCTTTTGCGGTCTCTCGCCTATTCCTATAAGAGTGAACACTTTCTCCTTCGTGCTTTCATAAGGGAGCACGCTTTTGAAGAAAGTTTCACAAATATCCATTAATGGCTCAGATTATTTCTCCCCCTTTCATACCTTCCCTTTAAACCCCCTTTCTTCTCCTTCCTCCGCTCTTCCCCCTTTATTCTCTACCCTCTCGTGGCTCCGCCTCGAAAGAATCTCTCTCCCCTCTTTATAATTTGATTTCAGGTCCTTTCTCCCTTCTCAAATGCCAAACTACCCATAGCTACAGAATCAAACAAATTTGGCCGAAATGGATACCAGCGTTCGTTCCCTCGCGCCGGTCAAGTTCAGCGAGTACCGGAATCATACCAAGCTCGTCCGTCCTCCTTTCCCCGCCGACGACTCTGTCTCGTCGGAGATGAAGCCCACTCAAGTGGTCAGGATTTCAGTGACCGACCCAGATGCCACCGACTCGTCCAGTGACGAGGGGGAGACGGAGCTTTTTGCGCCGCGGCGGAGGGTGAAGAAATTCGTCAGCGAGATAACTGTGGAGTCCTCTTGTTCTGTTTCTGGCGCCGGTTCCCAGTACGACGACGCTTGGGGCGCCAGAAGGAGGAAATCGAGGTCGAAGGCCACCAGGTCGAAATCTTCCACCGGTGGAGGCGTCTTGTCGGTGAGGCCGACGGAGCAGGCGGCAACGGCTACAACGAGGAAGTTCAGAGGTGTCCGTCGGCGGCCGTGGGGGAAGTGGGCGGCAGAGATAAGAGACCCGCTCAAGCGCGTGAGACTCTGGCTAGGCACCTACGATACAGCCGAAGAAGCAGCGATGGTGTACGACAACGCGGCAGTCCAGCTGCGTGGACCCGACGCGCTCACCAACTTCCTCACCCCTCCGCCACATCCAACGCCCGCCGCCGCCGCCGCCGCTCCTACCTGCAGCTCGGAATACAACTCCGGCGAGGAGTCACGCAACGACAACAAGGCCGCCGGTGGAAGCCGTTCTCCGATCTCGACGCTCCGGTTCCCCTCGCCGTCATCGCATGAGGAGGCTGAGTCCCAGTCGCAGTCGCAGAGCACCGTCACGGCGGTGAAAGAGGATTGCTCCGAAATTTCCGAGTTCTCGTCCATGGAGGCGCTCTTCTCCGACGAGGCGTACGATTTCAAGAACTCCATGCGAGACATCTTCGACGAGACCAACCTGGCGGTGGAGGGTTTCCTGAGCCAGGATTTCGGCGGGGATCTTTTCACCGGCGCAGTCGGGTCGGACGATTTCGGGTTCGGATTCTCCAGCTGGAACCCGGACGATTGCTTTCAAGACATCGGTGACCTGTTCGGATCCGACCCTCTGCTTTCCGTATGAGAAGACGACCAGTCCAGCGAGTTTGAGCTCGTCGGTTTTTTTGTGTCTCCGGCATAGTTTTTTTTTATGTTATTACCGGCGGGATGGGAAGAGGAAAAAATCCGACGAAGAATCTTTGGGTTGTTAAGTTTCCGTTTCTCCTTCCTTCCTTCCTAGTATCAATTTTGTCCTCTTTTTTCGTTTTTTTTTTTCTGTTTAATATTATGTTTAGGAAGTTGCATCAAATTTTGTCTATTTTAATTTTGAATGAAATATGTGAAATTGTGAATTGTTATTAGCAGAACATATATTATATTATTAATATATATTATTGTTATGGAAATGGAAATGAACGTCAGTCACAGTAACACAGTGACGGTCTAAGTTTGGGCTACGTGTTATCCGGCCTGCTTACTTCGGCTGGGTTAGTGTTTGAGGGGGCACGTGTTCTCTTCACGTGACCGCAACTATTTTTGGGATCTAAATTAAAAGAATAATAACGCATGAACGCTTATTTAGAAATAAATTATTTTATTTCTTAAGAAAGAAATTATTTTCTCACAAAAAAGAAAAAAAAATTGTTTTGCAAAAAAGGGAAGTCTGGGGTGGATGAAGGAGGGAACTTGAAGGAGGAAGAACAACAACCTTGACTAGGAGTAGGAAGTTCAAATATAGGATCCTTAAACCTCAAATCCTCCTCTACCCCTATTCTATTCCCGTGCTAGTACAAGAAGAAAAGGCCAATTAAGAAAAGTTTCGATATTTTATTCAATAAGTTGGAAGATATGTTTTAATAAATGACATTTATATTCAATTCCTAAATATGGAAAAAAGGTCCAACCTGGATTGTTTTGAACCAAGTAAGTACTTGACAATTAAGTGACTTAATCGTTGTGTATTCAAATTTTCAACAATTTAGTCATTGTATTATTTTCTCTTTCTTAACGTTTGTGAATAAGAAACCCACATTAATCGACAAAACGCGTTTTGAGTGACTTCATGAGAAGTAACTTTGATGTACATCTCAAGTCAAAATCGTGAAAATTTAAACCCAAAACGGACAATATCTTATTGAAAAAAATGTTCAAAATGTTACACATGATCAGATGTTTAAAAAGATTAATTAAAGTTCAAACACTTTATGGTCTTGAATATGTCGCATTGAGAGAGGGGGTCCAAAATTAGCTATTATGGATTTAAGCATACATTAGTTTGGGGTACAATTTAGAAAGCACATATTAAATGATACATATTATTGTCAGCTGTCACTTAACTTGTTTGGCAAACAACAAAACGGAAGGACAGAAGAAGATTTAGAAGCGCGTGTTGGATTTATGGGATGAAATCTATGGCCCGTCCATATAAATAGATTTCTTGCAATTTACAGCACCCGAGTTATTAGTATGTACCTAATAACATCACAACTAAAACGTGCATTATCCACCAGTGAATTTCTCATCTATCAAACAAATTTTAACACTTCCTGCTTACTGGTTAGGTTCGTTAAAAAAAGTCTTACAATGTAGATGCCAACCCGAGGTTCATTATGACTTGCCGTCATTGAATTGTCTTTCTGCATGTTTCTGGTATTATTATACAAATATTTTGGACGAATCGATGGTATTAGAAGTTTGTAGATGAATTTCACATAAAAAAAGTCCCTATACAAGAGACTTACAGAAGGAGATGACGAAAACAATGCACATTTGTGGTCTTCTCTTCCTATTAAAATTTGAATTAAATGGAACGAATAGTTGAATTTTTAGTGAAAAAAGTTAAATTGAATTGGTAGAACGAATTCAAATTACTACTTAAAAAGACAACGATAATGCCGGCTAGTTCGATTGGCTAACCAGTAACCAGTTAACCACACATATTCGAAAATCGGATTGACTTTAATTACCGTAATTGTGCTTTAGTGACCTCACCTATCAACTTATAGTGACTGGTAGAAAGGTGCCGCGGTCAACGGGGGGGAATTGGCTTCGAGTTATTGCCGCATAAATTGTATAGCGTGGCTAGATCCTCCTCATGAATGAGTGCGTTGGAGAATTGATTTGTTGTTATGATGTACTAAATTGGGTAATATTAATTGCTGCTTCATCGCTCTTTCGACTCCTTTGTTTCCAGCAGTTTTGGTAATGGTCTAGAAACTGTTAGAAATAATAATAAACAGTGAAATCGAAAGGAAAAAAAACCGAAGGAAAAAAATAAATTATGGGGGAAAAAACGCAATGGTCATGAAACCTACATGACTAATATTTATTAGTAATATCTGCGTTGTTAGTTTGGACCGACCTATATGTCTCTCTCTATATATTTTTACGCCCAAGAAAATAAAAGGGGAGAAAACGGAAGTGTTAAATATGGTGAGTGGTGAGTTGAATGAGCATATTTATTACTGCAGCTGCATATATGAATGAATAGGCATTTAATTCCCGGGGTAGATCGAGCAAATCCAATAGTGAAAAGGACTTGAGTAACTGTTTTTCACAAAGTTCATATGCATCAAATATATATGCAGCCTTCAATTCTGATATGCGAGAGTCGGTTTCTTTCTCTGCGAGGAGATATGTGTTAGTGTTGTGGTATATGATCCACGATTAAACCTCTCCCAACAACTCGAGTTATTGGGATCAACTGGTTCATGACATGGTATCAGAGCCTTCTGTGACCGAGAGGTCTTGTGTTCGATTCCCGGTGACCCCCATTTGTTAAGCACATGGTATTCTTGTCTTCAGACCTGTGCAAACTTCAAGCCCTTGTGAGTGGCTTTCGTTTGAGGGGGCGTGTTAGTGTTGTGGTATATGATCCACGATTGAACCTCTCCCAACAACTCGAGTTATTGGGATCAACTCGAGTTATTGTCAAGAACCAGTTGGTCCCAATAACTCGTCAAGCCCTTGTGAGTGGCTTTCGTTTGAGGGGGCGTGTTAGTGTTGTGGTATATGATCCACGATTGAACCTCTCCCAACAACTCGAGTTATTGGGATCAACTCGAGTTATTGTCAAGAACCAGTTGGTCCCAATAACTCGTCAAGCCCTTGTGAGTGGCTTTCGTTTGAGGGGGCGTGTTAGTGTTGTGGTATATGATCCACGATTGAACTTCTCCCAACAACTCGAGTTATTGGGACCAACTGGTTCTTGTAGTTTGCACAGGCCCACCATACCATGTGCTTGAAAGATAACGGTTAATATTGGGGGTCGTGGAGATTCGAACACACGACCACTTGGCCAAACCAGCTCTGATACCATGTCAAGAACCAGTTGGTCCCAATAACTCGAGTTGTTGGGAGAAGTTCAATCGTGGATCATAATATGTACCGTGCCTGGAAAGAAGGTATAATTGAACATCTTATAAAAACTTGAGTATTTCGGAGCTAATTGATATTTGATAATATATTAGAGTACATGATCATTGGTATTATGTTCAAATCTTCGACTTATTTGTTAAGTATCTGATATTTGAAAAGAAAGTCAAAGTCCAAAATAATGAAATTTAGTATAGTTAAAGCCTGCAGGAGCAGCAAAAATGGCAGCTAGCTGTGAATGATTGATTGAATGAATGAATGAAGGGAGGCAATGTGGAAGCCTGAGAGTGAGTGTGCAGAGTGACTCACTAACTTATATCCCAACCCCAACCAACACCTCAACTGTCATTTTGTTTAGCTAGAATTGCATCCGCAACTGAATTTTATTATTTGTGCATCACCAATTCACCAGTCCACCACCTTTACCACATTTAATCAAATCCCCAGGAACCCCAGAGGAGAATAAAGGAACGTGTTGTTGACATTGATGAATCACTTCGTGTGTGAACTTCCATTCGTTAGATCGGTGGAATGATGTTTATTTATCGATGGAATCTTCATCTTCAAAACACTTGTAGACTTACCAGCTGAAACTCGCTTGTTGGTAGAATTCAAACATTTCCTGTTGATGTAAACTTGAATCGGACTATCAGCCGCTACGACTGGAAGTCACGGGGTTCGTGTTCTCGGCCTGGTTGTAACCGCTTTTCCTTTACCATATTGAATTAGGGTTAGACCTAGCTAGCAGCCTAGCAGAAGTAGTATAAAATATTTCTCATACTCCTCTGTAATCTCTATCTGCTCGAAGTATAGTGAAATTGGCTCTCTCCTGCCCGTGGACTAGCTAACACACATCGTGTTAGTGAACCAAAAGTAAATCGTGTATTGTGTGCTTTCTGTTTTCATTGTTTCTTGTTCCGTCGAATCTTCCGATCCCCCGAACCGCAGAAAGCAGTCGTAACATCTCCATCGATCAAAGGTTCAGTTCTCTGTGCGTACTACAATGGGCGAGTGAGCAAACCCAAACTACATATGACGTGTGTTTAAGATCGAACTCCCGGCCTGAAAGCAGAGCATTGAACGGCTGAGATGAGGAGAACAATAATATGATCAAATGGTCCCCATTTCATGAGCTGGAATTTGCAGGTGCAGGGGAAGCCGCCAGTTTTTGGTTTTGGTTTTATCGCTGCTGTGCTGTCCGCTCACGGCCGAGGCCTCAAAGGGCAAAAGAAAGAACCTCTGCGGCTCTGCCCTCTCTCTGTGCGCTGCAGCAAAACTGCAAAACCTCCTCTCTTTCTTCCTCCAAACCCAACCCCTCCTAGCAAAGCCAAAAACTCATTAATACACAGAAACAACCATATAATATATCTTTCTCCATTTTTCATTTTGGTAAATGCCACATTTGATCACTAAGATTACTAAATTATGTTATGTTTAGTCACTAGAAAAAATCAATATCAATTTTGGTCACTAGAATTACTGAAACATGTCACATTTACTCTCTCCTGTTAGTTGAGGCTAATGGAGAGTGAGTAGTGTCTAAATGTGACATGTTTCAGTAATTTGAGTGACATTCATTAAAAAAAGAAAGTTATTCGAGTGACCGGAGTTGGACGGAGGCTACGGGAGAGTGACTAAATGTGTTATGTTTTAGTAATTCGAGTAACCAAAATTGATATTAATTTTTTCTAGTGGCTAAACATAACACAATTTAGTAATCCCAGTGAGAAAAATGTGACATTTACCTTTTTTTTCATTTCTTTTGTTGGAGGGCAAATACACTAAATATCCCTAGAAGAAACTCTGCCCCTCTGGCTGAGTTGCCCTTTGCTCCCCCTATCCCTTTCTTTCCAATTCTCGGCCACCAAACATGAAACATGACAAACATATACATTCCCCCACAAGCTCCTCTTGTCACCTGTGATTCTCTCCATGATTGTGTCTTCCCTTCCCATGTTCTCTTCTTTTTTATTTGTGAACCAGAAATTTTGCTACGTAAATAGCAGCCATACACACCTCAGACAAAATGGAAGGTGTCATTATCTTGAGAGATTTGGGCGAGTAATTAACATCCTACTTAAAAAGATCTGTCCATGCCTACTTATGGCTTGTTTAGTCAACAAGATGTATCAACAGTCAACACGCCTCGTCGTCAACGATAGTGATAGTCGTCGATGATTTGAGGTTGGATTATGCTCTCTTTGACTGAATGAATTGTCATCACATTACCATATATCGAGTTATCGACCTCACTAGATTTCTTTACCTCTGTATTCCTAATGAACATCCTCTTCCTTATTTTATATTTATCAATACAAGCCGCGCTAATCGTTCCGCTCAATATTCCTTGAAAGCAACTGTCATGTGCATTGTACATGCTGAATCTCTTAGTCGGGGTCACAAGTGATATGGCCGCAATCTTTGTTATATCTTCTCATAGTCTTAAGGGAATCATTCTTGATGTGGTTCCGTAGAGTATCACCATCATAAAATTTAAGCAAATCCGAATGATATCAAATATACGTAACCAAGTTGCACAACTCTCCATCATCATCAACCTCTTTCATCACCATATTTGTTGTCCCAACTGGAAACATTAACGAATTTGATATGATATTAACGTGATATTACATTTACAACACTTTAAATTTTAATCCTTAAAACATTTTGCTAAATATAAGAATTTTAATATACTTTCATTTGGGTTTTACCTACGATTACTCCGGTCGGATTGTCCTACAAAAGGACACGAATCGAGGGTCTGGTCTGGTCCTGGTTCAGGCTGACCTGCGTTCTTTCGGAGCTGCAGGAGCCAGGGAGGAAGTCCGGCCACATGCATCTTCTTTCTCACAAGAAATTTTCATCACAATTTTTTTTGAGAATAAGAATATTTATTTATATATATATATGCACTGGAAAAATCCTGTAAATATCTCTGGGCGAACCGAACAAGTCCAAACCCAAAATACTCTTTTGCCTTCGTATTGTTTTGCGCCCAGGCCACAGAACAGATTCACCCAGAAAAGAAAAAGGCAAAAGCGAGAGAGAAAAAATGAAAGAAGAAAAAGCCTCCCCGGCGGAAGGAAATCTCTGAGAGGATCTTCCCTGCAACTCTATAATCAATCTCCGCCGTACACGTCACTTGTCAGGCTAACTGTTTTGCGCGTCAGCAGCTGGAAGGCCGGGGCGGCTCTCCATTGGGCCCAGTTCGGGCCTGGTCCCATTTTTGTGCAAATGGAGCGGTGGTGGTGGTCCACATCCAACCCAGCTCAGCCCATCACAATTTTCCAGATACGTGGACCCACACCTCATTATACTGCAATATTTCGTGTGCTGATTTGGACTCCTCCAAAAAGCCCAAGTGGATAAGCGTGAGTAGGGGTATTTAACCGTTCGGTTCATACATGACCGTATCAAACCAAATTAATATTTGGATTAGACTGTATTGAATCGAGTATAATATGGTCCGATTCTTGATCTTACGAACTAAATGCTTTGTTGGTCCAGTCCTTGGTTCATAAATTTCTCTTATTATCTGGATCTCCTGAATTTGATCCCCTCCGAACCAAACCGGACCATTGCATCTCTAAAGCGCGAGGGAAGGCGGTATGAGTGGAAATTGGCCTTTCCCCCTCGTTGGGCTCCCACGTCACTGATCCGCAGCCCAAAGCTTCGTGCATATTGCTTACGTGGAGTCTTCGTGTGGTCTGACTCGAGCCCGGGAAAAAAAAAATCCACGTCAAGAAACAGCCCGCCACCGCCTAAAATTAGCATTCATTTCAAATTTTTTCTTGGAGTTGGGGAAGCTAAGCAGCTGCGGGCATGCATGTTACAAGTTGGCAATAGCCAATACGTGTATCATTTTGATTATGATTATCCCACAGGGCCAAATCCATATATAATCCACAGTTGCGGCAATTTATTATGGACGAAAGTGAGCTAGGTATTCAATGTAAAACCTACCATTGGCCAGTTGGTAGCAGTAGTACTTTCGCTGGTTGCAATATTAACACCATCGGGCAACGACCGGCGGGCCGGGGGAAGAAGAAGACAGTAGCAGTGCGCTTAAATTCCATGTGTGTTGGCGTTGCTACAAGAATCGACCGGTGAAAGAGACGACTTATATATACATGGCATGGCACCATCGTTATCACATTAACTGGTGTACAAACAGAAGGAGCAGAAGCATATATATATATATATATATGTGCACAATGCCTTAATAACTATAATATTTTCTCACCCAACTTTCCCCATCAAACTCTTTGCCCACCCACGCTTCCCATATGTCTCTTTTACGTGCATATAGTAATTATATCCAAACGAGTCAATCTACTACATATAGTAATTCACATATTGTACAAAATTATTCTATTGTTGTTGGGAAGAAGTTATAGGTCTAAGGAGAGTGTCATAAACCAATTGGTCCCAATAACTCGAATTGTTGGGAGAAAACTATGTTGGATCAGGAGGCTACAGTACTGTTGTTGGGCGACTGATCAATTACATATTATAACGTCGACGCTTGCCCTCTCTATTGCTTCAATTATCGGCAGCAGCAGTTAGCTAGCTTAATTAGGTCCCCGCTCGGCCTTCTTAAATAGAGCTTTTAATGGTTGATCAGCTAAATAATATACCGACATGGGAATGAATACGTGGCATTCTGTACAGTACTTCCTATGGCTTTCACCGACTGCGGAGTCACGCACTTCCTATGCCTTCATTATGTAGTTTGCACTTTTGCAGTCTGCAGTCTCCATTTTTTCCGGCAAGACAATTACCAGTGCATATTATTATTGCACGGATAACCCATATCCGACCAACCTAAATAATGCAATTTGCCATCGCACATTTCATTACGTTACGTCCTCACTCCTCACTGCTCTCTTGCATTCAAATAACTCGTGACGAGGACGGACAATGGGTCCTCGATTTATCAATGCTTGTCTATGTTGGTGGTCCTGGTGAAATGGGTTGGGATAATGATGAGTTTAGTTTCTGGTTAACTGAGAAATTTGGCCGTTACACTCCTAATTAGTTTATGAAGTCAATTTACTTCCATGTTTTATCGAACTTTTGACTTACCAATGGAATTCATATATTATTATCAATAAAATTCTTATGCCTACTCTTTTTAAAATTCCACCTTTATTCGTCAAATTTACTTATGAAAAATTATTATGTAGAATTAAAAATGTAGATTAAAGAGGAAATTCTTTTGATATTCTAAACGAACAGACTTTTACAAATAAATTGCTAAAAAAAGTTGAGAAATTATTAGATACTCTCGGTTTATATACCAAGAAAATTATGAAATTTATGCACATCGTATGTAATGCAAGTGATCTGTGACGAATTGGGCCTCCTTTTGAGAAGCCCGAACCGAAGCCACAATGCTCCGTCCCAACTCTCAACAAAGCCTTTTCCGCGACTTGTCCTCTTTGAGAAGCCGGGCCTAACTCTCTTCAGCGAAAATGTAATCCGCTTAACCAACTTTCTGGGCTCTCCTTCATGAACTGGGCCCTTTCAAGGTGCTTAGGTGGGCCGAATAAACAAAGAAGATGCGTAGAAGCCCACAGTACGTATGTTCTGGGCTAACACAGTCAGACACCGCGGCGCAGGAAAGAAATCGCAGACTCAGCGCGTGGCTTCACTTCCCACTAAAACCAATTCCAATTTCCCTTTCGCCCTGCGAGCCGTGGAAAAACAGAGGCGGTGGCGCACGAGACCAGAACTCGCTAGAGAGATTATTAAACAAAGAGAGTAAAAAGCGTTAAATTAAACCCCTTTTTTTTCTTGCACGACAAGGGTTTATCTTTGTCAGTCCAAAGAAGAAGAAGCAGCGGCAGGCGAACGATGGAGAAGGCGGTGGCGGTCTGCGGCGAAGAAGCGTTGGATCTGCTCAACTGCGTCGCTGAATCTCCTTACGATCAGGACAAATGCCTCCGCCTCTTGCAGGCCTTGCGAGATTGTGCTGTGAAGCAGGTAAACCAAACAAACAAGCATCGCTTTCGATTTTGCCCCATTTGTTCGCTCGTTTCTCTTCCGTCGTTGTTGTTGGTGCCTGGAATTTGGGTTCTCTCCTCTGCTACTTTCCAGACTTTTCTAACTTGTGGGTAGCCGATTTGTGTAGTTGAAAAGGAGAGCATTAGGAGTCAGGAGAAGAATGTCGTCAATCTCTGATTAGGATTAGGGGGCTACTTTGACTCTTGATCAGATTTCTTTTTTTTTCGGAAGCTCCATTTCTTAGGCTTAAGGAGAATGGATTGATTGCCAATTGGCAGCAGTAGTGACTAGTCTACCCCCTCTGCTTCTCTGCTCGTGGGATTTTGGATTAAGAGATTGATTGTTCTTTAAGCTTTGAACAGGGCGGCTACTAATAGATTTGATGAAAAACTGTGTTTCTGTGAAGTTCGGCCATTTGGTGTTCTGATAATTGATGAGCTAGCTCACTTGAATGGAATGGTGTGAATGGAATTTTTAGCATTTTAGCATAACCTTCCATTCCATATGGCTTGGTACATTGCTAAATGGCATTGTTTTAGTATTGTCTTTCGTATGTAGTGTTTCCATTTGTATGCCTCTGATATTGGTATATGCCATTGTTCGTCTGCAGAATGTGAAGAAGTTCTCCCTAGCAAACGAGGCCAAGAATGAATCAGAGGTATCGCCTAAGAAAGGTTGACAGTTCACTCTCGCGGAGCTCGTGGGATCGATCTTTCTCTATAGGCTGTGTCAAGTTCATGTCTTTAAGTTTAGTGTTTCACTAGGCTGTGTCAAGTTCATGTCATTAAATTTTGTGTTTCACTAGCTAGTCACTAGATGAGTTTTAGATGCCTGAAGAATCCTAGTTTCTGGTTACGAAATTCGGTGTCGTCTGCATCTGTATCAAACCTCACTTCCATTGTTTACTCTATTGTTGTTCCTCACACGAGGATGTAAAACTTCTAAAGATGAATTTATGATGCCCAGCTGATGAATGTGAATGACCCTTCATGGTGTTCTTTTATTGTTCCTATCTACATTGTCATCCAAATGCCAGATAGTTTCTGTTTCTCAGCAAACGAAACCATTAATGTGGCACGATTTCGCTCTGTCATGGTGTTCTTTTATTGTTCCTATCTACATTGACATCTAAATGCCAGATAGTTTCTGTTTCTTAGCCAATGAAACCATAGATGTTGCATGATTTCGCTCTGTGTCATGCTCAGCAATGCTTTGATTCTTCAAAGCAATGCCAGAACGATTCTAGGAAACTTTGCAGAGAAATGAAAGGGACAGGAGTAGGAAAAGATAGATAAGCCCACCAAACAAGATGATAACATTAGCAACAACCACTGGAACCCCCCACCACACCCCACATTCTTCTTCTTCTTCTTCACCAAATACGAAAGAAAAACCAGAAAACCCAATTTGTTCTACATATGATCGAAACAATAAATACACCAAAAACCAGAGTACCACCTTAAATACAGAAGACCAAGGTTCGAATCGCCTTAAATAACATCCAGCTCCATCCAAATCAACCCAGAAAAAAATTAAAAATTACGAAACCAATATCTTTCTGATCTTCATCATCTGCTCGTCTAATTTATAAGCTGGGAGTCACATCTGCAGCATGAATCAGGTAAGTCAACACCAAAGCCAGCAGCATCAGCACATAAGCAATCCCTTGGTCAATCGACGTCCCTGAAAGAAACCAACAAAATACAAATACCCAAAAATCAGAACCCACATTGTCAAATCCGGCAAAGATCCCAACTTGGGACCGAAACCCATCTCAGATCTGACGATTAAACGCGCTGGAAGAAAACAGAGAAGAGAAAATCCCACTCACCATCGCTTGTAGCGGCGGGGGCCGGGGCGGGAGCCATGCCCTGAGCCTGAACTGCAGCAGGCAAGGCGATGGCGAAGATGAGCGCGACGGCCACGGCGGCAACGGCGACTCTCGAAACTGCCATTGTTGTTTCGATTTTCTTTTTTCCTGATTTTTTTTTCTTTTGTGGGGGGGTTTTGTTTTTCTCTTCTCTTCTCTTCTCTTCTCTCCTCTCTCTGCGGACGGAAACCAAAAAGGATTTTCTCTCAGCACTCTCTCACAGAATCCAAATTCCGGAGAGCCGCGCAGAGAGAGAGAAGGCAAGGTCTCCTCTTCCTAAAACGAAGCCAAAACCACCGGAGGATCGCCTTGTGCCTCTTTTTTCGATGGTGGGGGGATGAAGCTGGACTAAGCCGCGGCGTCAAGATTTATACCGTGGCTTTGTTGCCCGCCCGGCTGGCCGATAAAAACGGAATCCAGACAACAGAGAGAGAGAGAGTTAGGCGACCGGCTCAGCCGGTTGCCTTGCCGGTCCAGAAATTTAAATTTTAGCAGTTTTTTATTTTCCTGAGAGACGGACCGAAAACTGTGGGGCCCGCTGTCCATGTGACCGTTCGGAGGGCAGGGGTGCCTTTTTATCTTTTCCTTTGTGACTTTTGTTTAAGGGTAATGGGAAATTCCCGCCCTGCCCGGGGACAGTCTGTCCTTCGTCTCTTTCTCTTTCTCTTTCATTGGCGCCATATGCTGGAGTCCTGATTGGTCCACGTCATTTAAACGGATTAAGTTACCGTCCAGTTCCTTATTTTAACTCGTGTTAACTTTCGGTCCTCGGAGTATTTCCTTTTTAAAAAACCTGAGAGTTTGTTTTGTTCGTTCGTTTGTTCTGGACTTCTGTTGGGATTCCGTTTCCATTGTGATGCTGTTTTTGTTGTGCATGTGGAATTTTCCTCAAATTGTTTAAACAAGCCAACAGTTTTAGGAATGTGAGATGATCTCATTAATAGACATGGTTAGGGATACGAGGTTTGACGGAAAAAGCAAGTGAAGTGATACTGATAGATATAGAGGTTAAGGAAGAAGAGGGTCGGATTTGGGAACATAGATGCATGGGTGAGATCCATCTCCAAAATGAATAGGGGTATATGATGCTTGTTGTAATTTGTAAAATTGAGAGGAGAGTTGTTCGTTTTATACAATTGTTCTAGTATGTGGTGTTTATTTTGTACGTTTAGAATTTGTATTGACGATGGAAGAGGATCTATTCTTAGTTCTTTAAATATGTACACATGACATAGATCGCCTACAAATTCTATCCATTGAAGTTTAAGTTGGAATACATACGAACTAGACTAATTTGAAGTTTAAGTTAGAGAGGGGTAGAAGAGGAGAGAGTTTATGGGTTGCATTTGTCTTACTTATTTGCCAAAAATAAAAAAAATGATATCTTAGAATCGTGATCATCTTTGTAAGTAAGTACACTAAATACTCACCTATATAAGACTGCTTAATATTTTGTTAGTTGTGATAAGCCTTGTGGTCCATATTATCTGTGTAGTAACTACACTTGGTGGAGATAAGGTTTTCATAATTAGCCTTTGTCTCTATAATTTAATTCTTAGGTTTTTTCTCAATAATAGTTTTGTTTGATGGTATTACGAAAATTAATAAGCGATGAAGTGAAAAATGAACTGGTAACATTGATTCACAAAGAGATAAAAAAAATGATTTCCAAACTTTAAAGTTGGGAAGAAAATATCAAACAAACATATTTATTTTGGAATCTAAAAGTTTTTATAATAATGAGTCATGATGGACTCCATACATCATCATCAAAAAGTTAGAAATAAGCTCATTACTGTTAATTAGCAAGACAACTAATTAAGAAGTTCAGAGAAACTATATACTAAGAAGTGATTTCTTTATGTATTTCTCTATTTCTTCATCATCATTTTTTATTTTTTATGCGTAGAAGATAAATTTGGTTTGGTCTTTCATTAGCGTCCGTTTTGAGGGGTTTGCCAGCAAAAGCCAACAAAAGATTCTGACACCCAATATAACAAGAATGGAATTTGGACAGCCAATGCCAACAAACATTCCCAAGATAGTTCAATTTGTGTTTGATTTTGTTCTTGTTGAAACGGCTGAGAGAAACAACTAAATAGTAGGTGAATGACAACTTTGCATGTCAACTTATGGATATTGTTAATTGCTAAATAATTGACTAGCCAAAGGTAAGAGAATAATATTGGATAACGGCATTGTCGAATTTTGCAATCATTCTACAAATTTTTTGTTCATTTGGGTTTTGCTAGCGAGGTAAAATTAGTATTCAGAGAGAGTTATTGCTTTATAAGGACTTTAGAGAGAATCGGATTATGAAAGGTCTAAGAAATAAGCAGAGCCCTAGCAAGTTGGGTGTGGTCAAGGGGGGCCGGGGGGAAAAGTTAGCTTAAATAGGGTTCACGATGAAGAACACCGGCAAAGCATGTAGTATGAGGGCTTAACTCTAATATGATTTAATTACGCTCGATCTTCATTGTTAATGTCAAGTGTTTATTGTGTGACATGTTTGGCGGATTTTAGTAAACAACCAATTGTTGAAAATCATTTCAACCTGGAAAGTGGATTGCATAAACATGGGAAGTAGATTGCAAATGTGGCATTCTTTTTAGTTTGTGTTCTTACAGCCTGTTAGCCGTGAACATTGCTGTTCATTTCTCTGAATTCTTCAAATACCAACAACGTGAATTACTTACAACCACTGCAAATAATATTACATACTATTCTTAGAAGCTAGTATGCGTAGCCATAACAGATCACAGATATACATGGGCTTTGATCTCTTAACTAAGGATTATTTATGGAGCGGTTTTAACAGAGTCGATCATGTATGACAAGAACAAATGCCACAGGAACTGTTTTCTGGTATCTTCACTGCTCTGAAGGCCAAAGAAAAGCTCCCATGGCGAACTTCCTCTTCTCATCGGCATCCCCAACAACAGGCAGACCGTACTCCTTAAGCAAACAATCCAGCCTCCACTCAGGCATCGTCTCGTAGTCTTTCTTCTTGAACCTTGGATAGTGGAGTGGCATCTGAAATCCTGACGACGATGATGCTGAACTGCTTCTGATTGCATTCATCTTGAACTAACAGTTTCTCTTTGCTAGAGATGATCAGTTTGCTGCAGCACTTGCTTGGTTTGAGTTCCTTTTATAGAGTGGAGCTAGCTAGCTAGCTAGGAAGGATGGAGTGGAGTGGAGTGTAATCGAGATACAACTACACAAGAAGAGAAGGGAAGGCTAGTACAGAAGGGCAAATTTAATGCACTTGAAAATGAAAGGGTTTTTAGATTGGGGGGATCTGATCTGATGATATGTTCACTTCCACCACCATGCTTTGAATCTGAAATTACTTGACACACAAGTTAGTTGTCACAATCCTGGAATTAAATACAATGTCCTAGTTCAGGAATTGTGTTCTACTTCTATCCTATGGCTGCAAACTGGTTTTGGTCTGATGAGTTGATGTCTGCAGTATCAGTTGCAGTATAGATAGGGACCTACCGTTTACATTAACTCCTTGCTTGGGCTTGGGGCAACTGTCCTCTAATGTCTAGTTGGTTCTAGAGATCACTGCATTCATAATCATAGGGCTGCGACTTCTCTTAGTCCTTATCCCCACCCGATTTTTAATATTATGGTACATGAGATTCAAGGATGAACTAGTGATTGTGGTGTATTTGCATTTCGCGTACACTACAATCAACGAATTGCAAATATAAACTCGCTGAAATGAAGGAACGGACGTAAAAGTTCAACTACCAATCGTTGTCTTGCGACCGGAAATCTTGAGGTTCCCTTCAGAACAGGGTAGGCAGCAGAAAATTGAGACCTTAAGTACAGGTACGTGTTACATTCCTTGGTTTTCATTCACTAGTCACTGTGCAGTGTACACTTTCTTTCGCGTAATTGCAACAAAGAATGAAAGGCAAAACAACGAGAGGTATGCCATGTACCATTAGCAGTTACAATTAATTTCCTAAACAGATATTACAACTTAAGCGAATCTAATTCTCTATGGTACTCTGTTGGTGATGGATCTATCTCTCACTTTGTTTGGATCTTATCCCCAAAAACGCTCTCCAGATGGTCTTGTAATTTTCAGAGGCTTTGCCAATTCTGAAGAACAATATTGCTTCCCGATGGAGCATGGAGTTGGAACGTCATTCGCCGGTTTGAAATGCTACATCAAATGAGATGGTCCCAAACACAAATGGTTGCCAGTGAGGTCAGAGTCTTTCAGGAATCGGCCTTTCGATCGATAGAAACTTCTTTTAGGGCCTCGGGAGCAGGTTTGGGCGTAGGCGGCGAGTCCACAAGCACGTGTGGAGGGGCAAAATACATGTGAAGTGACATCATACATATGATGATACCCAAGAAGAGCTGCAAAAAAATGAAGCAACAGAACCAGAACATGTATCTATAAGCCACAACACAAGGAATCAAATAAGTAGAAGAGAGAGACCAGTTCATAACTTTCGCTCAAAAGTACCTGAAGTGTAGGCTTAAAGGAAAACAGGATCACTGATAAAACCATCGTCAGCAGCATTGCCATGGATGTGGAATAGACCTAAACAAGAATGAATATATGGCAGTCAAATTTTCAAAGTGGAGAAGCAGAAGATGAACAGATATCAGTTTCTGAATTCTGATGTCAGCAAAGTAGCAGTTACCTTCACAATATTATCAGCATACTTCATCAACCATGAAACCAACAAACCAGTCGAGCCAAGATTCAAAACAACCAGCCACGTGGTTGTGGTGTATCCATTAAAGAGACGCTGCCACCACGGCCCATTTTCAAATCCACTTTGGAAATCATCTACTATAAGCTTTGCCATGTTGAATAACACTCCAAACCTGGAAAAAAGACATGAAGGCAAAGATGTTTAACCATGCTCCCAAATTGAAGGCAAATAGTATGGAGATAAGTTCTGGGATACACCCTAAATAATTCTAGAGCACAGATCTAACAGCCAGAGAGATTCCCATAAAGTTTGTCCTATGGAAAGCTTCTAGTGCAGGAAAGTAGGACAATCTATCAATGCCCAAACACAATTCTAGAATAGAAAAGAAACCTACGTATACAATTGTACATTCTGCCAGTACAAGCTATCATTATTCTTCTTCATTAGGAACTCTGTGTAAACGCCAGCCAATGCAGAGAGGCAAGCAGAGAGGGCGCCCAGCATGTAACCTGGAATTGGAGCTGAAAACAGAGACTCGCAGGAAGCTTCTCCACAACCCTTAACCTATAATGTTTGAGCACATGAATCATAATCCACCTTACAGATGAAACCACATGCAAATACTCTCCTAAATTGCATCCTCGAGCAGAATTTTTAGTACAAGTAAAAGAGGGTTACCTGGCTAGTGGTTGTTCCAACAGCCAACAGCATAATTGCCATCCATTGGAGATTAGACAGCTTCCTCTTAAGAAACAACCTTAAAATGGAGAGAAAAATTAAAAAATACATGGTGAAATTAGCTCTGCTAAGTACAGAGTCATAAAGCAAAAGCCTGACCGCAATAAGAAATGCCTCCCAGATAGATGTACCCACAAAAGCACAAGTAAAGTAAGCACCTGAATAATATCCCAGTGGTGACAATCTTCAAATTGCCCATTATCTGATACGTGGAGGTGTCTACATAAGTGAGTGTAGCAAACTGAACATTGTTATGAATCAGGTATATGATGGACGGAATTGGATACAACCGCACAGTCTTCCATTCAGTGGTTATCCTTGTGGATGGTGATACGCGAAATTCTCGCCATAAAAGTAAACCAGAAACGACCAGCTGCAGTTAAACAAGAGCAAATTGAAGAACCAGCCTCTGGAATGATAACAAGGTTACTACAATTATAATGGAAGGTAGATTTTGAGAAAACTAAGAGCTACCTTAAAGAACTCTGCCAGAAATGGAACTGTTGCATAGTCATAGAGATAGCTTCCCTTAGTTTGAGACAGAGTAGTCAAGATCCCCTACACATTGTAAACCAAACACATTCAATTAGTGACAAAGCCTTAGATGCTTCTGCTTGGACTGAAGAATTTAGGTGAATTTCAGAGGGCATTGGAACGCCTATGAAAATCTTAAAACGGATCATAGTTCCCCAAAATTTTCCCTCAAACCCACATCTCAGCTTTCACGAATTTCGTCCTATTACTTGCGAAGTTCAACTACCAAAAGCTCTACTACTGCCTAGCATTGCTAAGGCCGACGCTCTTTACTCAACCACGTCTACTCAACTTACTCCACAGACTCTTATGAGTAGCTTCTCAGTTCTCATTTCGCGAAATCATAACTGATACCATATACAAAAGGGCTCCACGTTCGAACAGGCGCCAAATGGAATCTCATGAAATCGGAACGAAACAGGAAAACTAAGAGCAATTAAGCTTTTCTTCTAGGAGAAAGTAAGGGGAAGGAAAGCGAGGAGGCGAATTTGAATGCTGGCGATCTACGACGGACATTGAAAAGGAAGGAAGAAGGACGAGCTTCAGCGACTGACCTGAGAGCTAGTTAGAACGGTGAGAAGGGCGGCGACGAAGTACCATTTCATCGTGCTCCGCGATCTGCAGCTATAGCGACGGAGAACGGCCTTTGCGTTTGCTGTCTCTGTCACTCTCTCACTCTTTCAGTAGTAATCACTAATCAGTCCGCCATTAACATCCGCTGCTTTACAGTTGTGCCATTCTTCTTCTTAGCAGGCAGCAGCTTCGGCTTTCTGTCTTTCACCGCTAGATCTCCAGAGATTTGGAAGTTGAAAAAGTTAAACGGGCTTGGGTTGGTTGAGACCAATGTTTATCTTCCCTGGGCTGTATCTTTTGGAATTGGGCTTCTGAGCCAGAACTGTTGGGCTTTCCTTACTTTAACTTACTAGTATATTTGTGCTTGTGCTTTTTATCATGAAGAGAGAACACATGGGGTTCTTCTTTAATTTATTTTTTGACAATTAGTGCAAATTGAAATTTATCAAAGTAAGAGAAAGCCTCTCGATTTTAGTTCTTCCAAGTTGAAAGTTGGAATATGAATTTAAAGAGTGGGTTATGATTTGTTGCTTCATATATTCTTAATATAAACAGATAGAGTTTGATGCTAGTTCTTAGCTATTATCAGTCTTGACTCTTGTGACATTTTTGTATCTCTATTTTTCTCATTAATACAAATAATTTATTGGAGAGAAAAATACATCTTAATAGTATATATTAAACGAGATAACATAAAATCAAAACTTAAAATAACTAATTACTCATCGTATCACCAACTCGCATTGCTTTCTCTTTTGAAGATAATGATAGTGAGTCAATCTAAATTCTTCTCCCCATTGAAGCTAACCTTAATGGTTGACAACGGTGCTCATTATCATTTATTAACCAAAATATCATCCATTAACTGATTTCCAATTGCAAAATGGAAACACACACTACATAATGATGGGTCATTTTTTAACAATGGACATTGCAATAATTTCAATGTGTAACGACAAGAAAGGTGATACCTTGTATTCATCCACAACATATTAATACGACTAAAAATTGTTATTCGGGACAAATTTAACTGCATGAAGTCAAGAATATCACTATTAGAATATGGATTATTCCACACTTCCTTCAATCGTATACAACTTTTTATTTGTATCTACATGCCGCTCTGTTATTATCTTCCTTTGATAAACTAATTACCACATATTATTGGTCGTTCTCCACTAAAACTAATAAAATAAAGAAATCGTGGCTGTCCCGCCGTCCCTTTTAACCGGAGTCACGTCGGAAATAACTACCAGTCCACCACCATGAAGACGTGTGATAACGGCCCCACGTTCACCACCATTCCACGCGTCGCATTCTCCAAGACCATTCCGCTCTCTTCCATCCTCAAACGACGTCGCCGCACAGCCACGTAGGCCTGTAGGATCCCTCAGAAACTACGGCGTCCGGCGGTTCGCGTCGGAGAAGAAAGAAACAGTTGAGAAATGCGTTTGGGGAATGAAGAAGAAGAAAGGTCCGTCGTAACTGCCCAAAATGAAACCGAAACCCGCGGGAAATGTTTTCTCAGTATTAAAATCGTGGAAAATAAAAGAGAGAAAAAAAGGAAAAAAGGGGAGACCTATAGACCTGGGTTGGGTGACTACTTCAACGGCCACCGTCTCCCTTTCTCTCTCCTTTCTTCGTCTCCTCTCTTCTTTCTCTCTCTGCCGCTCTGAATTTCACCTGAGATCAACCCAAAGCACCTGTGATCAATTACCCAATTGAAAATTTGAGAACTTTCCGACGACCAATCTACAGGGTCCGGTTTGTTTTCATCAGTTTGTGTAATTCCATTGATCAAATTCCGTCGTAAACCATTGGCAGAGGGAGAAAATTACAGGCAGGGGGAAAAAAGGTTTGCTTTGTTTGTAAGAATCCTGACGTCCGAAGACGAAAAATAGGAAGAACAAGAAGAAGAGAAGCTGCATTGAACTCTCCGTCCTCAACATTCTCTGTTTTGGATTTTTTTTCTCAGGTTCCGTATTCCGTAATCCATCCTCTATTTTGTTTTTTCTCCCATGGTTAGAGATTGGAGAGGGTTTGCTTCTTAGTTAATTTCTGATAATTTAATCATCAGGTAATTAAGTAAGCTGGAGAAGGGGAGACGAGGGTTATAGAGAGAGAACAAAGGGGAGAGAGAGACGGAGGAAGAGGAAGAGCAGGTGGTACCTTTGAAGAATTCATTAATGGCAGCAGGGGATCTGGGCTGATTCATCAAGAACCAGAGCTTTTTTACTACTTCAGGTAAATGTATGCTTCCCCAATTATTTTCCCTTCCATTCTTCCAGAAGATCAGGCCATGGAAAACTACGTTCTTGCTGGTTAGATTGTGCTTTACGTTTTCCTTCATGGGTTATGTACGATCCCTCTTCTTCTTCTTCTAACGCTTCTGATCACCTGAGGATTGATAGGTTGATAAAACGCTTGTAAGAACTTCTCCCTGAATCCTGATATTCCTCTTTTCCCAGGACCTGAAGCTCTTCTGAATCCTTGTTCTGAGATCTCTCTAAACTTTGAAGCAAACCCTCTTTGCTTCTTTGTTTAGAGAGGGCAAATAGAGACAGAGAGATCAGCAAAAGAAGCTCCAGTTGATAAAAAAAGGAAATGGAGCAGTTCAGACACGTAGGGGAAGTCCTGGGAAGCTTGAAAGCACTAATGGTGCTCCAAGACGACATTCAAATCAACCCACGCCAGTGCGTTCTCCTGCACCAGATGTTCACCTCGGCATTCGACACGATAGCCGAGGAGATCAGGCACAACCTCACCCTGGAAGAGAAGAACACGAAGTGGAAGCCATTGGAGGAGCCGTTGAGGGAGCTTCACAGGGTGTTCAAAGAAGGAGAGCTCTACGTCCGCCATTGTATGGACAACAGCAAGGACTGGTGGGGGAAATCCCTCTCCCTCCACCAAAACAAAGACTCCGTCGAGTTCCACATCCACAACCTGCTCACCTGCTTCCACGCTGTCGTCGAGGCCATAGAGAGTGCAGGAGAGATCTCTGGCCTCGACGAGGCAGACATGAAGAGGAAAAGAGTGATGCTTTCGAAAAAATACGATCGAAGCTGGTATGACCCCAAGCTGTTCCAGTGGAGGTTCGGGAGGCAGTACTTGATCCCAAGAGAGATATGCTGCCAGTTCAAAGCTGCCCTGAGGGAAGACAAATGGCATCTCATCGAGAAGCTGAAGGAGAAGAAAGCATCAGGCTTGATCTCAAAGAATGAGCATCGCATTGCTGATCTGCTGCTGAAGAAGCTCAACAGCGTCGAGAAAGTTAACGGGAAACTCCCACCTAGCTCGATTTTATTGGGAGCTGAAGATTACAAAGTGAGGAGAAGACTAGGGGAAGGAAGCCAGTACAAGGAGATCCAATGGCTAGGGGAAGGATTTGCAATGAGACATGTGTTCCACGAGATTGAGCCGTTGAGCTCTGAGATATATGATCTAATGTCGTTGGCTCATCCCAACATAGTCCAGTACTTCTGTGGATTCTATGACGAGGACAAAAAGGAATGCTTTTTAGTAATGGAGTTGATGAGCAAGGATTTGTATTCTTACATGAAGGAGAACAGCAGTCCGAGGAAAAGGGTTCTTTTGCCTCTCCCCATTGTTGTGGATATCATGCTTCAGGTAGCTAGAGGGATGGAGTATCTCCATTCGAAGAAGATCTACCATGGAGATTTGAACATCACCAACATATTGCTCAAGCCAAGGAAATCCACAGAGGGTTATTTCTTCGTCAAAGTTTCAGGCTTTGGACTCGCGAGAGTTGAAAGTCAACCTCTGAGGCATGCTTCTTCGAGCTCAGATGCAATCGATCCGGCAATCTGGTATGCGCCGGAGGTGCTAGCGGAACAAGAGGCTGCAGCTGCTGGTGGTGGGAATAATTCAAGGTCGAATAGCAAGTACACGGAGAAGGCCGATGTCTACAGCTTTGGAATGCTGAGTTTCTGCCTGTTATCGGGGAAGCTTCCATTTGAGGACGGGCATCTCCATGGTGATCAGATGATCAAGAACATTCGAGCTGGGGAGAGACCGTTATTCCCATTTCAATCACCTAAATACCTTGTGAACATGACGAAGAAGTGCTGGCATAAGGATCCAAGCTGCAGGCCGAGCTTCTCCTCGATTTGTAGGGTTCTTAGATACGTGAAGAAGTTCCTGGTGATGAATCCTAGTGATGGGCAGCCGAATATGCAGATGCCCCCTGTCGACTACACCGAACTGGAAGCTGGGTTTCTGAAGAAGTTCCCTGCTGAGGTCACCTGCGATTCGAGCTCGGTTTCTCAGATTCCGTTTCATATGTTTGCTTACAGGCTCGCGGAGAGGGAGAAGATGACGTCCTCTCTTGGTGTGAAGTTCAAGTCAAATGAGGCAGGAAATGAAGAGCCTCTTACCCCTGCAGCAGGTGAAGATCCAATTGTGTTGCCAGCTGCGGATGAATCCAAGATCGTTCAATCTGATGCGAAGTCGGTTTGTATTGGAAGTCCGGAGGAAATGATCACGTCGGATGTGAGGTCAGTGATATCGGAGCCACCGAAGAAAGAAACAATGCCTGCTGCTACTGCCGTGGCAAAGAAGCCAGCTAATGTTAAAGTGAAGAAAGCTCCAGGTAGGTGTCTTTCTGAATTCATTCCCTGTTTTCGTTCCAAAGGGGAGTGTATTTTGATGTTTCTTGCACTGTTTGATGCAGGTGTTAAATCAAAAGTGAAAACTCCAGTGAGGTCATCACCGGCGAGATTGTCAGCAACGTGGAGTCCAACTGGCCGGAGTTTGAGGACGAATGCTGCGAAAGACAGTCCAAAGAGAACAACAATGAGTTCACAAAATCCAGGGAAAGGGGTGTCATGAACGAAGGTGATGAATGCGGGGAGGAACGATCAATGGTGCTACCTTTCTGGTTTAACCATTTATCCATTCCTCTCCTGGGTTTTTGTTTCTCTAGGTAAAATATTGAATGAATCAATCAAGTGTTGACAGAAAAGGAGATAGAAACGGGTCAGTGAGTGTTACCTGATTTTTCTTGTAGCAGTGTAATTTGGATTCTTCAGTAATTCGAGCAGCCAACCCTGGACTTTGAATCCTTGTATGTTCAGGATTTCATTTCGAATCACATAGTTAATATGAAGGAGCCAAAAGGTAAAAAAGAGAGAAGTCTGACAGAGATTCGTTCCAAAACTTGCTTCTCATTCTTTTTCAGGATAAGACCTGTCCAGTCAGCAGTGTACACTATTATGCTCTCTTTCTTTGAGACATTTACATAAACTAGAAAAACAAAGCAAACTATCCACATTCTTTTAGTTACAAACTCAATACAGGGCTCATTTCAGTTCTGCCATTTTGATCCAGCATTATATATACTGAGGCTGTATGCAACCAACTTTGTCCCCAATGCTCTGCAGAATCCTCATCTTCAACCAGATTCCCTTGTTTTACCCAAATACAGCTACATATGCCTGCGTTTATTATGTTCATAATGGAGCGGGAAACTTCACCTTTAATCATCTGTTATGTGTGTACCAACAATGATAAGTTCAAAGATCTGTATATGTTGGAGGGGGCCTTGGTTGAAGATAGACAAAAGGAGGATAATGCAAACGTTGACCGATTTCGAGCTGCTGATCGGGCCTCCGAAGGATATTATTGAACTTGTTGAACAATCAGGAAGCCAGTAGGGGGAAGACTTTTGGCAGTCATCTCTTTAAGCTATTTGCAATACTTTAATGCAGCCACTCGAATTGGCGGCTAAGACCATGTCTGAGTTCCCCCTCCAGCAGACACTAGAAACAAACTGTCCATTGTCATCATCTGTCTCTTTCCCCGATATAGGATCCACTGAACCAAACTTGTGAGATGCCATCGGCATGGGTAGAGATCGATGGTAAGCATAAACCTACAAAAGTAGATATTCCACACAGCAGAAAACTTGAGCATCCCTTACCCATTGAGACAACCGAAGGCACTACAATTAAGATCATACCTCGTTTGTTTCTGAACCACATGAGATGTAACCATCCGAAGCCGATAGGCCAACAAAATTCTGGAATAACAAAGAAGTGGAAATTGAGAACATGGCCCAGTAGAGGGGAAAATCAGATAGATAAAGCAGCTATAAATATGGGTTGAAAACAAAGTCTTATCCAGAAGAGAATTTCAGCATATGCGAAGAGAAACAACCTTTTCATTTGTATGCCCTCGAAGAGTTAAGTTGCAAGCGTTCATGGATAGGCCACTGCTATTGGTCCTTTTAAGATCCCATACCTTCAGTGAGTTGTCAGTTGATGCAGTAACAATAGTCTCTGCATCCACAAATTTTACATAGCTCACTGCTTTCTCGTGGCCGTTTAATATACACCAGGGCATTCTAACATTTCGAATATCATAGCAGTAGGTTCTGAAATCCGCAGATCCAAAAGCCAGCAAATGAGTGGAGTGGGAGGAGAACTGAACACAGCAGACATTGGCGATGTTCTTGATCGTACTTAAACTATTTTTCTGCATGAAGCATTGACTGCATATGAGCTCTTAATCTAGCAACAAGCAGTAAATTATTGGCAAAATGTAGGAGGATAACTTCTAGAAACAAAATTTCTGGGCCAGGATCATCATGATTCTCTATGCTACTTAAGCCAAAATCATAAACCATAATATTTCACATATCCAGAAGAGCGATGATACTAACTTCATTGAGAGTGACAATATCAAATAACAGGGTCTAAAACTCTCATGAGTGCCGTGAAACTAACACGAATTGATTTTAGACTTTTTACCATATATTTCAATGTCATGTTGTAGAACTTCATGCCATGAACTCCAGACCATGTTTCTAAACATTATTAGGATGAATAATAAACATGATCATAAATGAAAGCTTCACAAACAAACAATTGTGCCCATGATCCAGATTGTCGTTTACAGACAATAGATCTATCAATCAATCAAATAAACAATACACAATAGCAATAGAACTTTTAAGACTATCAGAGGAAGAACAAACCTCATTTATGCTCCACAATTTCACTGTACAATCATCACTTCCAGTAGCTAATTTTGTTGGACATACTGGAGAAAAGTCAACAGACCAAGCCCTCCTTTGATGCTCATTATATTGAGAAACCCCTTGACCAGTGCTTGCATCCCATAGCTGTCTTCCACCCAAGCATCGATGATATACCAAATGGAAGGAAGTTAACATTTATAACAAAATCTATAGTAGAAATTTAAATAGTGTGGAGAGAAAACTCGCCGAAGTATTTCTAGAACCTTACTATTTACTATCACTAAATGTTTTTTTGGAAAAAAAGTAAAAGCAGGTATAGCCGAATAGGTTAGCAAGTTAACCAGCACAGTCAGCCTAACTGCTGGAATAATAAAATAGTACAACATGAGCATGTAAGGAAATTTTGTTCTTTATCATATTAAAAGATTAGGTATTTGAAGCTCATCGGACGGGTTAGCAAAAATACTCAAATGTGCACGAGAGGACATACCTTCACCACACCGTCATAGTCGGTCGAAGCCAGATAATTCTTGATGTAGCCGTTCCAACAGATGCAGCTGAGCTTTGATTTGTTTGTCATTTCAACGGCCGGATAATGAATATCAACAGAATCATTGAAGAGCGAATTAAACTCATATATCTTTATTTTTTTGGAAACACCAGCAGCAGCAAAATAGTCCATGTCCCGGTCAAAACTTAAAGAGCATATCACATTAGCAGAATTGTTGAACTCCCCAGTTCTTAATGATCCACGGACTTGAAACTTGCTATATCGAGCATATTTGCAAAGACCATCAAAGAATTCCCCAAGGCAATCAGATGGGTTGTATTTTTCGTCAGCATCTTCTGATTGCCAGTTTTCACGATTTCTCAACAAACTCTTGTCTTGGCGTAATGTAGCATGAGCCTCGGGGACTTGGACTTTGCCTCTCATGGAGAAATAAGCACTCTCAAGCTGACTGATATTTCTCATCAACCTCATCTCTTTTGTATCAGGATTAGAGAACATTGGAGCGATTCTTTCAGCACTTAAACTGTCATTTTGCTGGAAAGTGTGTTCCTTTGCATTATGGAAGTGACCCAGTGTTGCTGATCTCTCTGAGCAATTCCGCTTCTCAATCTCCTTAATATCTGCTTCTAGGAACCTAATATCGTTTAATAACTTGGAGGCATTACTCTGCTTATTCCCTCTGAGTGATACAAGAAAATACGACAATAGTTCTGATTCGGAATCATCTTTTTCAATGGAGGATGACAATTCTTCTACAGACGCATCCGGCAATCCATTAATCACATCAGATTGCAAAATCTCCCTGCCATATTATGAGAAATGACCTTAAATGGGACCACCAAATGTGGTTCAGAGATTAAGCAAACACACGGAAATTGAAAGAGAAGGGAGAAGATTTCAACCTCATATAGAGTAGAGTCGAGATAGAATGATAACACAGTGGAAGGTAGATAGAGAGCTCTTAACACTACTTATCGTCCACATCATGACAGATTAAAAAACAGGTCATATGGACATTGAGCCCTGTAGGGAGAGGACTGTTTGATTACCTAATAAATTGCTATATGAGCATTAAATTTACCAAAGTGCATCTTGTCTAACAATCCAGCTTAACTTTCTGATGGGGTTATACCAACCCTACATGACCTAATTCGATTCCAAATTATCTCTCTACATGGACCATGGGTCAATAGAAAAATTAGGAGGTTTAAAGAGAGTTTAGGAGCATTCAAGATGGGTGAAAATGGGTCTACAAACAAGACCTACGGGTTAATGAAGAATTGAGGATTTCTTACAACTATCCTTGTCCAACAAGGATTTGGAAGAGATGCTTAATTGTTGTCCATGTTGGTTTAAGAGTCTTTTATTATTATATTAGCTTTATTTAATTTCTGAAGTATGGGTGTTATTTGTTTCCTAGTAGTAGAGTAATTACTTTTCAGTTTCCTAGGTGTAGAAGGAAGTCTTTTCTTTTGAGTTAGCCTCTCTATAAATAGAAGGCTTGTAGTTCAGTTTTATTCAATTCAGTATTCAGATTTCAATAAGAGTTTTCAAGATTTGCAAGAAATATTTCCTTGTGAATTCTTAGGCTTATCAACCCCTGGTTGTGGCGCCTTGCCCCGAACCTTATCACCGACTGGTGTGGCGGTTCTTCCTCCATCTAACCTACCAAAAACCCTAAATTTTCCAATTCCTTTCAATTTCCAGCAACCCTAGCTATTTTATTGTCAATTAGAGCAGTTTAGGCACATCACTTTCAATAGCAAGGAACTAAGTGGAAGTCAATCTTGAAGGTTTTTCTTATCCAATTTAGTGTCATTCAATGTTGTAGAGCTTTAACTGATGAAAAAATAATACCTTGTCGTTGGGCGTGAGGAAGGTTCAGGATGAAGTAGCAGAAGACAAAATCCAGCTTCCTTCAGATTCTCGGACAGAAAATGAGGAGGAAGAATCCTGTTACACAAGTCCAACATGGCCACTCCACGCGCTCCTTCAGAGTCAAAACGACTAAGCAACTACAGAAAAACATAAGATTGTGATCAAGATTCTAATGCAAAACGAAATAATATCTTAAAATAAACTCAGCCTTGCTAATTGCATATTCATATTGGAGAAACCAATGACAATTGGCACAAGATTGAAGAGTAGGGGTGGGTCGGATGATTTTAAAGAAATAATAGCGCACCTCAAACAGCAGTACACCCAAAGCATAAATATTTGATGACATCGTGCAGATTCCTTCACTCAGCTCCTCAGGACTCGCATACCACTTCGCTTCCAGTGGGTCAGTGCCACATTTTAACGGTTGTTGTTGTACTGCATTAGATAGCCAAGGGAAGCTAATATTGCTCTTAGATCCATCTCCTGCATTCGGATTGCATCCAGAAGGCTCATAAGGGGACTGCTGTTTGCTTGATAAGCCAACTTCTCCAGTTTTAAGTTTGATGCCACATTTTGAACTGAGTTGAGGCCACCTATTACCAGCCTTCATGTTCTCACTTAATTTTTGTTTCTTAGCATGCAAACCAGTAGATGAAAACATTCCATGATTTATTAGCCTCCTTTTACTCTCATGATTATCTGAACAAGGCACATCCTGATCCATTCCACTTCCTAGGTCACTTCTTTTGTCAACTGATCCCAGGTATCTTACCAGCTTAGTTGGCAACAGCTTGAAGCAAGAGGGTCTTAACTGACACAAGACAACTCCTTCCGAATGGTAGCTATCCACCAGATCCACAATCTGCCTAAAGATATGAAAGCATTCACCTTTATCTACCCCATGGCGTCCAACATTTAGCCATTCCCTCAAACTGACTCCATGACCGTCAATGCTGCTATGCCTTGGCCTGACAACACCAAAGGAGGGTGAAGGCATTACAGGTTTATCGCCCATACTCGTTGAAGCACTAGTAGTTGCCAACTTAACAGTTGAAGTCTTTCTGTTGTCCTGATCCACTGGCTCAGGTCTCACAACATTTTGAGAAGAGCCTCTGAAAACAACCCCCTTACCCTTCAGAGTCTTCTTTATGAAAAAGTCAGCAAACCCTGACTTTGATAGAATCTTTGTCCGTATACCACCACGGGAAACCATATCGCTAACCTTAGTATGTTCAGCATCTGCTAGTTGTCCGGCAGCCTCATTGGAGAAATCAGTTGAAATTCCCTTACCCGTAAACTCAGAAGACAATACATTCTGTGTAGCATTATTCTCACACAGGCTCACTGCCTGATGATCTCCCCTATGCCAAACACTGCTGCGAGAACTCCCACTTCCCGGCCCCACTCCAGGATGATAAGGCTGCTGCCACTGACTCCACCTGGACTCCATTTTCTCCCTGTGGTTTGATGTGCCAACTATGGCCAAGTTAGAACCATCATAGTTCTTCACCATCAACTCCTCCACCATGTTCCCTGCGTCATCTATATATCGAGGCCTTGCACAAGGCTGCTCAGTAGGATCCTCCAGTCCCAAGTTTGCACTGGAAGTCCTGCCCTCCAAGATATCAGAAATCGCTTCAAACGAACTATTCAGATAGTCATTCTCACCACGAACAGCCTCCTCTGACTGCTCAAGCACCACATTGGAGGCTTCAGGCTGTCTCAAGGGATACTCGCTCTCCTTGCCACGGAAATGCAACTCCTCCACCAACCCACCTGGCGCCAACTCATTCCCCAGCTCTCCGTCCATCGCCAACCGATCTATTTAATCAACAGTCTACCACGCCGCATACACTTCAATCACTTCATCAAATTCCTAGTCCAGATTCAATCAATTGTCAGTAAATGCTACTCCAGAGGCGGTGAAAAGGAACACAAAATACTACAGCAAGGAGAATTCAACAGCCATCAGCCCTCCTCGGCTACACCAGCTCCCCCGTCCCCTCAATGAAACCACCACAAATGGGAGGAAACTAAACAAAATTCAGCCGGCGGAAGCTTTATCAACACCTCAAGGGAGCTATCATGGCAACGTTTCGGGCAGCATTGAATTTGCAGAGAATTTAGATTCAGAAAGGCCCGGGCAAACCTGAGCGAGCAATTCACCGACAAGCTTACAGGGAGCAAACAATTGAGCGAGGTAACACCATTTCTCCACGGAGTGATGGAGAAGCAGGGGGGGAAGGGAATGGAACAGAGCAGAGGCACCGCTTGAGTTGAGAGGCTCCCTTTTTCCGGAATCCACGGAAGGAGAAACCGAGAGACAAGGAAGAAAGTGGGGGGCGAAAACCCTAGAAATCAAGCGGAGAGAAGCGGGAATTTCTGGGGAGCCTTTTTGCCGAAAACGGAAATGGAGGAGAGATGGATTGCAGGCATGGCAGCAGGAACACCAAGTTATCTGTTTCTTCTCTCTCTATAGCTCTTCTTGAGCTGTCTGTTGCTTCGTTGAGACGTTTCACCTTGCGTCGCTTCGCTTCGTAGGATCGTGTGTGTCGTTTGGGATTTCAGAATTCAGGGAATTTGGACCCTTTCCTTTGTTAAAATTTCGACCTCTTTTTCCTTATATGGTTTTTTTTTTTTGTGAGTAATAATTATTAAACACTGTGGATTCGACGTTAGAACAAATTTCGTAACACTGTATCTTTGCCTGCTATCCACAAAAATAATTTTGAAAATTCGAGAATGGGACAGCCAGCCAATCGCTTTTTCTTTTTATGGAACAAAAAAATCCGTCACTCAAATTAAATTGAGAGAAAGAAATAATGATTCCTTTGTTCTTATTACATTCAGATTCCATTACAATTATGATAATAAAAATGTTTAATATCTTAATTAATAATTAGGAATGAACTTGGGTGCTCGATGTATATCTTTAATATACATATAGATCCATCCAACTTGGATAATGGTCGGATTCAATAATTTTGATTCTTACGATGGTTTTAGATCGAGAGTATGAAATATTTAATGTAAAAATACAAAAGTATACGTGTTATGTAGAGAAAATGGATCTTCCAAGCATCTATTGCAAAGTTACGGAACTTGTCACGCATAGAATAAAAATCATTATTTTTTTCGTATAATATCAATTTAAAATATGTCCCTACATAATAGAATTGGAAATGGTTATAACTTATAACGTTTTAGTGACTCAATTGTCCTTCAACGTTGATGAAATGGAAATCACATATTGTAAAAAAAAAAATTGTCCTTCAACGTTATAATCGTAACTTTTAAATGATTTTCTATACAAACACACAGTACTGCAACTAAACGCTAACGAAAAGCAAAGGAACTTCAGGATTGAGTGAAAACCTAAAATTGAAGACAAACTACCATTTCTGAAACTGACAACGCAAACCGGCCCCAAATAGGGATGGCAATGGGGCGGGTTTGGGGCGGGTTTGCCTAAACCATCCCCATCCCCGCTTTCAAATATCCAAACTCATACCCGCCCCATACCCATGCGGGGGAAGATTTTGCAAACCCATCCCCATACCCGTGGGTTTCGGGTACCCATGGGTAATACCCGCCCCGTACATCCAACATTATAATACATAAAATTTTACATGTAAATTTTCAATTATAACATTATAGGCACCTATTATATCATGAAGTCGAGAAAGTGACAATAATTCTTAATATGGTTCAAAGCATTTTATCCTAAATCCATAAAATAGAGTACTACAATGTAATCCAAATCATTATTTATCTGACTCTAATACATATACTAAGCAATAATGAACTAATATAATCTTGCTAACACGAGGGAAAAGTGAAAGAGTGAAGAGAGAGTTGAGGAAAATGAATAAGGTTTTGATTTGGGTGACCACTCAATTGCATTTCTACTAATTATTTTTTTATTTACCTTCACTATCATTGATAGATTACTATTTCATCCATGTATTTTTTATATGTGAACAAATATTCTTGGTGGGGCGGGTATGGGTATGGGGCGGGGGAGGCTAAAACCATACCCGCCCCATATCCATCAAACATTTTGCGGGTTTTACCCATACCCGCCCCATACCCAGTCAAAGCGGGGATTCCCCGCATTGACTGGGTCGGGAGCGGTCGGATACCCGTGGGCATGGGTTTGATTGCCATCCCTAGCCCCCAATAATTGAGATGAAAGAATCGTTGTTCAACTTCAAGTCGGCTTGGCTACTATAATTATTAGAAACGCCCGGCGACGGTTTATTTATAAAATCAGGAATCCGATGCTCAGTTCCACTTCCCCGGGTACCGGGAGTAAAGTCGCCGAGCCGAAACCCAAACCGGAAACTACCTGTTGGGTAAGCCCAAAGGACAAATGTCCACATTGTCGTTAAGCTCTGTCGTGGCACCAACTGTGGGCTCCTATCAGGCCCGAACACTTTTGTGGCCCGCTGGAATCCGCAAAACAGCCCTTCGACCTTACCAAACTTGGGTTTCCTAGTCAATGCCCTTCCAAACATACCCAACACTTTTTTTTTTATCATAGTCAGATGAAATAGTAGACAGATATGATTACAATAGATAAAAGTAACTACAGTCGATACTAATCGCTCTGTCGATGAAAGAGCCCTTTATGCCACTAAATGGACAGCTCTGTTAGTTCCTAAGAAAAGAGTGACAAAAACACTGAAACCTAAAAAAGGATATAAGCTTCCGCCGCTACACCACACCGTCTTATGGTCTCTGTACCTTCAGCCCAGGAAAGCCACGCGCCACTTGATCAAAGCTGAAATTCAACGGCACTGCACACGAAGAAAACAAGAGGCCCAGGCCAAAAAGTGGAAAACCCACTCTTCCCCCTGCACAAAATAAAAAACAGCCACGAGCAAGCCTGCCCAAAAATTGGAAGAAATATTGACAGGCCCAAGGCCCAGGTGGAGGCTGCAGAGCTGCAGCCATCCCCACTTAACGAGGACAAAATAAAACCACGAATCCTTCTCCCCTGTTGCCACGTCAAAAGCCCTTTCCTTGATGATTATCCATCTCACCGCTTGACCGCCACCGCGGCACCGCCTGACCATCGGAGAGATACAGGACGGAGGCTGCCATAGTTCCGACGCGGTCGCACCATCATAGAAGACGTAGCGCCCTTTCCTTGATGTTAACAAAATTCGAGTCAATTGAAGAAAAAATAAATTAAGTAGTCTTTTAATAATTACCAGAAGGAAAGCCTTAATTAATGGAATTGGTGGACAAGTTGTAACCAAGCTTTGTCGCATCCTACTGCAGATTCAACAGCATAATTATAGTATAATACAAAGTTACAAACCAAGGCACCACAATTAAAGAAGACTGATATGAAGTCTTTCTTTAATGCGTTGTCGTCGTCGAGCTCTTCCTAATTCCTATGTGACCGGTCTCGTGAGAGGTCACTTGTCACCTAGAAATAGAATTCATCTTAACATGTTTAAAAATAATTCTTTTATCCTTTCAAAAATATCACATAAATATATTCTTTTATATATACATTCTAATGATGTTTTCCCCCAAGTTGTTAAAAATAGATAGTCACAAAGAGTTGAGAAGTCAGACATGGCAGTCGACCAATAGCCACTGTCGACGAAAGAGTCGATTGTGCCACTAAATGAGCAACCTTGTTAAATCGACGAGAAATATAATAAGTATATTGAAAGATAGTAAATTGAGGCATGTAAGACCGCACTTTCTCCAAAACAGCTCCACCTATGTCATGTGCGACATCCTTGTTCAAGACACGCCGAACCAACACTAGTGAGCCTCCACAAAAACTTACCACAAAAAATCCATGCATATTAAACACCAATTTATAGCATCACGTAAAGCAAGAAGTTCCATGAGAAAGGGACCGTCATTCCCGTATATTCTAAACTTGTTGAACTATAGGAATATAGTTAAGTTATATATTATCGAGATATATAATAATTTTACGGACATATAAATATCAAGGATTGAAATACCATACCGGAGGTCGTAACGGAAAAGTCAGTGGTAGGATACCTTATGCTAAAACTGTGGTTTAACCGTGGTTCAATCGTATTATACCGCTAAATACCGCCTACCGGTTTTGTTTCCGGTAAAAGGTTTTTCAGGTCGAACCGTTTGTACAGTACAGTATTTTAATCCTTGATAAATATCAAATTATTACAATCCTTGTCGTGTTTGTACAATCACAATTCCAATTTATGCAAGAGACCCATTAGATTTCAGATGTAAATTCTTTAAGTACCATATAATAATAAAATAAGTCAATATCACCCCTATAAATAAATAAATTATACATGATAAATCGTACGTAGAAAAAACGCGTGACAGCCAATAATTTGACTCCATAACTTTGACCGACCAACCCTCCATAAGCTGAAATATGGTGAATAGGGTAATAAAATATAGTTAATGCTAAGTCCTGATTTTCAGAAAAACTAAATTATGCAGTCTTTTAATAATTACCAGAAGGAAAGCCATTAATAGAATTGGTGACAAGTTGCAACCAAGCGCTGTCGCATCCTCCTGCAGATTCAACAGCATAGTACATACTAGGGGTGGGCATTGGGTGGGTCGGGTGGATTTTGACCATAAAATGCACCCACCCGCGCTTAAACGGATTGATAATTTTTAACCCACCACCCACCCACATTTAGTCTCGGGTTGGGTCGGGCGGATGGTGGATGATGCGGGTGGGTTTGTGGGTTCACCCACATCACAATGTATATAATATAAAGGAGTCAACTTGACATGATAATAGGTGAAGAGAATCATCGAGGGTAACCAGAAGTTGAAATAGGGCGAAAAATGTCGAATTAGTTCTTAAATTGGATAGAAATTCTATTATGAAGAGTTTTCTACAAATTGAGATGATTATTAGGTGCAAGGAACTAAGGAAAATAATTCCACAAAGGAAAGAGCGGTGATCTAGGCACAATAATTAGAGGAAAAAGTAAAGGGAAGAAGAGGGGATCTCTATTTGGAAGGTTGGCTTTGAAGTTCAAACTCCAGGAGCAGTCCGAGTTTATATCTAACGTCTCCACTCTTCTCTCTCTAGCGCCAACGACTTTGATTTTTTTGCTGTTGGGTTGAGCGGGTCACCCGCGCACTCACCCACAACCCACCCACCACCCGGCGGATGACTTCCAGCGCAACCCGTCACCCACCCACAGACCCACCCACTTAACGAAATTCGGGTCGAATGCGGATGGGTCGGCCCAAACCCGCGGATGATCCGCCCGCATGCCCAGCCCTAGTACATACCCAAAGAGCACAATCGTCGTACAATCAATATAAAGAGATTCTAGCTCACCAGCCATTCAATTTTTTCTTGCTTCTGCGCACTCTACGGGAGGGTTGTTTTGTCTTTTAGTGGATGTAGTGTACATTATAGTTAGCCGTATTTTGTACGATGTGAATGTTGGCATTAGTTATGATATATTATTATAATTAGCCGATTTCAAATTGTATTAGTATATGTAATGTATATTATTGTTGGTTTATAATTATATTATATATAATTGCGGGTTCTATGATACCCCGGGTGAAACCTAAGGTATCACATAT